AAAGGGCTAAAGAGAACCTTTTTGAAAATGCTAACAAGCCGGGGAGATGGTTAGCATATAGAATGAAAAAAAGAAAAAAAACTGATAAATAAGTTGCAAGATCCCAAAGGTGAATTACAGCTTCAAAATGATACAATTTAAAAAATTAATAAAAACTATTATCAGATACTTTACAATGCAGAGGAAATTCCAAAAAAACAAACAAAAAAACAACAACACAGCAGTATTTAAAAAAGCAGACTTACCAAAAAATTCAGAGAATATTTAAAATATCTTAAATGGAAAAATATCAATGATGGAGATTATAGAGGCTATAAAAAGGCAACAAAATGATAAAACTCCAGGTCCAGATGGATTATCTGCAGAGATTTTTATAAATCATTACAAGACACACTAAGTCCTATTTTGAAAGAACTGTGTAATGAAATACTCCTGGAGGCTAAAATACCAAATACATGGATTGAAGCCAATATTACTTTAATACCCAAAGAAGACTCAGATCTAACACAAATAAAAAACTATAGACCAATATCACTATTAAATGTAGACTATAAATTTTTCACTTCAATAATAGCAGAAAGACTAAAGAAATTTTTGATGGAATTTATACATACAGACCAAAATGGTTTTCTACCTAAAAGACAAATAAAAAATAATTTAAAAATGATTCTTGATGTGTTAGAATACTATGAAACTCATCCAAAGAAACAGATGGCTTTAATATTCCTTGATTCACAGAAAGCGTTTGACAACGTAAACTGGCAATTCATGTTCCAGCAACTAGTGGAAATGGATTTTGGAGAAAACTTTATAAATGTAATTAAAACAATTTATTGTAAACAAACAACCAAAATAATTGTTAATAGAGATTTTACAGAAAACTTTAACATTAAAAAAGGCACAAGACAGGGATGCCCACTACCTCCATTATTATTTATGCTAACACTGGAAGTATTGAACAGAAACATCAGACAAGATATAGAAATTAAAGGACTGGAGACAAAAGATGAAAAATATAAACTACAAGCATTTGCAGATGACTTTGTTTTTATATTGGAAGATCCACTGGAAACAAGCACTAAACTTATGGAGAAAATAGAAAAATTTGGAAAAGTGGCAGGATTGAAAATAAACAGAGAAAAGATTAAAGTGCTAACAAAAAATCTAACAGAAAAACAAAAAAATCAACTAGCAAAAAAAACCAAATCTTCAAATAGTTTAAAAAGTTAAATATTTGGGAATTTACCTAACAGCAAGATGTGTATCAATAAAAGAAGATAACTATGTAAAACTGCTAAAACAAATAAAACTGAACCTGGAAAAGTGGAAAAACCTACAACTTTCAATGCTGGGGAGAATAGCAACAGTGAAAATTTATATCTTACCAAAATACTCTTTTTATTTCAAACGATTACTGTAAGGCTGGGAAAAGTCTTTTTTGATTAATTGAATACAACAATACTGAAATTTATCTGGCAAGGAAAAAAAGCTAGAACAGGGATGTCAAATTCAATTTCATTGAGGGCCGCATCAGCATTGCAGGTGCCCTCGGGGGGGGGCAGGGCTGTGTGGCCAGGGTGGACGTGGATGGAGTGGGTGTGGCCTACTGGGTAGGCGTGGCCAGCTCTACACGGTTCGCATTAGTGGTGCCTGTGGGGGCCTGGGCAGGAGTGGGACAGATCTGAGGGTCTCTGGCAGAAGGGGGTGGGACCAGGACAAGTGCCAAGGCATGGTCCACTGGAGGAGCCTCACTATTCCTCTCGGCCATGTGGGGGGGCTGGATGGTGGTACGGGCTGCCTGGAGCCCTGGGCAACAGAGGTCAAACGCCCAGCCTGGCCCTCAAGCACCCACGGCACCAAGCCCAGCCCCACTTCCCCAAGGGGACACCCAGGTGCACTTACCTCATCCTCAAGGCTGCTGCTGCTGCTGTGCTTGCTCTCCTTACCCAGGTTGCTCATGATGGGTACGAGGGCAAAGTCAGAGGGAGGTCCATTCCCTCTCCATGGGAGGAGACCCTGCTTTGTATCCAAAGTTTCCTTAGCAATAGGATGGGAGACCCCCAGGATAGGCCAGGAGGAGGGGGCAAGGGGATAGTGAAAGTGCAGCAGGGCAGGACAAGGCAGTACTTCCCTCAGACCCTCCCTCTCCTCTCCTTCTTTCCTTCCTTCCTTCCTAAGTACAGAGTGGTGGGAAAATATTTGACATGAGGGAAGGAGAAAAACAGGCAAGAAATGCAGCTGGGAAGGTGTCACCCTTCATGAGGAATGAAGAAATGCACCATCGCCTGGAAGTGGCCAGCATATGGCCCTCACTTCACATATCTGGCTTGTTGGGCTTTGGGGGAGGGGATGCCACGAGCAGCGTGAGAGTCAGTGTTACCTGCGCAATGCCGCCCAGCCCCCAACCTGCCTGGTTTTGGCAGGCAGCTAGGTGCTCTCCTCACAGCGCCGAGAGGCTAAGCCTGGCGGCGCAAATCCGAAAAGAAGTGTACCGCTGCCCAGCCCCCAGCCTGCCCGGTCTCGGCAGGCAGTGGGGCACTCTCCTCACAGTGCCAAGAGGTTGAGCCGGGCGGTACAAAGCTCACCAGCTTTGTGCCTTGCTGCCTGCTGAAACAGGGCAGGCTGGGGGTTAGGCAGCATTGCACTTCTAACCAGATTCGCGCCACCCTGCTCAGCCTCTCAGCACTGTGAGGAGAGCACCCCACTGCCTTCCGAAACCCCTCTCCCGAAGCACATCAAGCTGGATATTTTAAGTAGGCCAGGGTCATTTGCTGGCCACTTCCAGGCGATGGTGCATTTCTTCATTCCTCACAAAGGGTGACACCTCCCCAGCATACACCCAGGGGGTGGGGCTGACGCAGCAGGGCTGGTTCAACGCTGTTTCCAGACAGCCTTATGGAGCTAAGACTAAATGCGTTTCAGCATAGATGGCCACCACAAAATTGTACATTGGCTTCCACCTGGCCAGCCAGGGCCAAGGCAGCGGGGGCCGTTCCCTCACTGTTTCCAGGATGGCTTCATGGGCCACATGAAACCACTTTGCGGGCCGCATCTGGCCCCCAGGCCTTGTGTTTGATATGTCTGAGCTAGAATTAGACTGAAAATGCTACAAGAAGAGAAAGAAAGTGGAGGATTTGGATTGCCGGATTGGATGTTATACTACCAAGCAATTATTTTAACATGGTTTAAAGAATGGATAATGCTTAGAGATAAAAGACTCTTATACCTAGAGGGGCATGATCTACAAATTGGTTGGCATGCCTTTCTGTAGTATAGGAAGAATAAAATACATAGATATTTTCAAAACCACTTTATAAGAAATCCACTTCTTTTAGAATGGGAAAAAATAAAAACGAAAATTTATATCAAGATAACTGGATGGCTTTCAACAATGGAAGCATTTGCTTAACCAAATTTAATTAATTACGATAAAGTTGTGACCTATAAAGATATTTTGGGCAATGAAGGAAAATTGAAAGACAGACAAGATTTACAAGACCAAGGTATTGATCTGTCATAGTGGCCATATTTGCAAATCAAAATGAGATATGAAAAAGATGCTAAAATAATGGGATTCTATAAAGAACAGACAGAATTTGACCAGATACTGTTAAAAACAGATGAAAAGTTGATTAAGAAACTCTATAACAGCGTTTCTCAACGTTCGTGTGACGGCGACCCCCGTCACATGAACGTGCTGCGCACGCGTGGCGCGCGGCGGCGCCCCATGCGCAGCACGCATGCGCAGCACCGCCCCCATGCGCAGCGCCACCTCCATGCGCAGCGCGCATGCGCGGCGGCGCCCCCTGAGGGGGGAAATGGTGGATCACATTGTTTGGCGACCCCCGTAAAATGGTCGATCGACCCCAAATGGGGTCCCGACCCATAGGTTGAGAACCGCTGCTCTATAAATATCTGTTAAACTTAAAAATGGAGGAAGAACAAATAAAAGAAACGATAATATGGGTAAAGAGCTTTGGATATAATATAGAATTAGAAGACTGGCAAAAGTTATGGGAAAGAAATATCAAATTAACTAAAGTAGTGACATATAAAGAAAACTTATATAAAATGTTTTACAGATGGCATATGACACCAGTGAGATTAGCAAAAATGTTTAAAAATACTTCAAATAAGTGTTGGAAATGCAAACAAAGACCAGGTACTTATTACTATATCTGGTGGACATGCCCTAAAGCAAAAAGATTTTGGTTAAAAATACATTTCTGGTTGGGGAAAATGACAAAAAAACAAATAGACTTTAAGCCAGAATTATTTTTGTTAGGAATAATAGGAGCAGTTATTGTATCTATTTAATTTTACACGTACTAACTGCAGCAAGAATTGTATTTGCCCAACAGTGGAAAAATGAAAATTTACCAACTGAAGAAAAATTAATTAAGAAAATTTTAGAGTGTGCAGAAATGGATAGATTGACTTTAAAGATAAAAGAGAAAGAAGATTCAGTGTATTTTTAGAACATGGGATAATTTCTATCAATGGCTAGAAAAACAAGTTAGAAAGGAATGTGATATGTAACTTTGAATAGATATTAGCAACAAGGCTATTGAGTGATTAATTAACATTGTTGATGATAATTAACTATTGTCTATTGTTTTTTGTTCAACACATGAACCCCAACATTATGCTATTTGCTAAATATTGAGAATGTTATTTGAAAAAATCCTAACCCCAACCTCAACCCTAATCCTAACCCTAACCCAAATTCCAACCCCAGTCCTGACCCACTTCATTTCTAATCCTTTAAAAAGTAATAAAACATATATATATATATATATATATACATATACATATACATATACATATACATATACATACATACATACATACATACATACATACATACATATATATATATATAAAACAATAATTTTTAAAAATCTGGCACTCATATAAAACAAGTGATCCTTCAGTTACATAAAAACAACCTATAATATACCATAAAACTACAATTAGATGCAATCTAGAAACAATTGTACCTCTAATTGGGAAGCTTAGCTGCTGTAGTATTGATGATTTTATGCAATAGCCTGTTTGTGGCTTCCGATACATCTTTTCCAGGCAGGCATTCCAATCTTCCACACTGTAAACTGAGCAATCCTGCAGACTAGTGACAAGGTCACCAACAAAAAGACCTCTAGGACCATTAGCAGGAGAATCCTAAAAAAAGAGAGGAGAAAAAATGCTCATGGATCATGGACTGAAGACCACCTACTTTGTTTTATTGGCTACATTTTCATATATGGTAATTTGACTATGATCTGAAGAGGAATGAGCGAAGCAAACTCCCCTTTCAACCAACCAGTGGGGTATGGAAAAAAAGTGTTTTCTCTTCTGATTATTCTGGCCATCCAGATTGATAAACAGTGATTAACACTAAGTAAAACAGTATGAATAGCCACTGCAATGTTAGTAATATACTCCTGATACAAATGTGATTATTCTCAGTATCAAATCTTTCCTATTTTAATAGCATGTGTTTACACTTAAAGCTGATTAATAATCACGTAGACCTGATTATATTTCATTATATCACATACGATTAGTTTATTTCATATACTTCACTATTAATACCATACATATCTTAGCACAGAAAAGTAGTAGTAATAAACTGGATTACTGTGAAACAGAGCTTTAGTTTCTTTATTTTATATCCTATCTTTCCACTTCAAAGAGTATTCAATGTAGAAAAAACAAAGCTTTAATTAAAGCAGAAAACCAAATGAATTATACTATATAGTATATATAGTATGTGTGTATGTGTGTGTGTGTGTGTGTGTGTGTCTGCGTATCTATATATAGATACACACACACACACACACTCACACACACACACACACAGTTACATCTATGGTCATAACTTCCAAATAACCTCCCAGTGTATGTCACCAACACTTTTAGAAAAGAGAAAAAGCACCACTATGTTTAACTGTACAGATGACAAACTATTCTTCCAAAGAGGTGAATTTATAATGCTGATGCTGTTACCTGAGTGACTTCAGTAACAAGTGCTCCTGCACCAGTGTAATAAAATGGGTAAAGAATAGCAGGTAAAAAGAAGAGAACTACAAGACCTGCAACACCAAGCACAAAGTTATGCCAGACACCTGCAAAACCAGAAAAACAAAGCATTTAATGTCTACCATGCAAGAATAAGCTAAATAGAATATATATGTATGTATGTATGTATGTATGTATGTATGTGGGTCTTTGGTTATTCGGGTTTTCTCCCACATAAAATTGGAAGTATCTTGGCAACGTTTCGACGAAGTCCCATTCGTCATCTTCAGGCTGGTGTTTTCAGCTTCGTGCTTCGAGGAGCACGAAGCTGAAAACACCAGCCTGAAGATGACGAATGGGACTTCGTCGAAACGTTGCCAAGACACTTCCAATTTTACGCGGGAGAAAACCTGAATAACCAAAGACCCACATACAAACACTCGCGAAAACCTCAGAAAACACACACACACACACACACACACACACACACACACACATATATATATATATATATATGTGTATGTAATATATTTTATTACAATAGCAAATTAATCTAAATCTCATAAAGTCTGCTTCAGGAGTGAAGCTAATATTAAGATTTTGAAAATGAAGTGTTTAAATGTAACTGGAACCATACCAGTAAATGCTCCAAGATTATGGTTAACAGAAGTCTTGATTTCAAAAATGTATATGAAAGTCGTAAAAACATGACTGGGAACCACTCCGACTTTCAGCACAAAGGACAAGCACAGCTAGTGCAATAAAAATGAACTATCCTGAGAGGTATTTCTGAATGAATATGATACAGAATAATCAGAGTAGCCCATGAAAGGAAATTCAGTGCATACTTTTTAAAGATGAATACTGAGGAATAACAGTAAAGTTATACTTTGTCATTTTCGATATTATAAATATACCTTCAACTATTCGATAGAACGTGATCCTGGAATTAAATGCCACTGGCAGTTGTGTACTATTATAGCCAAGAATGTGAGCTGGAAAGTTCAGTTCACAGCTGGAACTACTACTTTTATATTAGAACACAAATGGAATTTGAAAATAAAATAAAGCTAGTCAAAGATTGCTCTTAAGTGAAATAAATATTATTTTATGCAAAATGCTCTCAGCATTCAAAACTTGCTAAATTTTAAAGAGAAACACAAAAGGAAAATTATTCATTATACATAGTTGTCATTATGGTCAAGAAAGAAAAGCTCCTGTCAAGCAAGTATGACTCCCACGGTCTTCATGTACATGGAATTGGTTGACTATTACCTTTTTACAGGAAAAGTTTCTGACTTCCCAGTTTAACTTACAGCCCTGGGATAGCCTAGTAGCCTCCCATCTAAATACCAATCAGGACTGAAACACCCCCCCCCCCCGAACCGTTGTCAAGGTATAGGGTTTTTTTACCTATCTCTTTTTCAATCTTTTTTGCTGTGAGTTATGTAGTTTTACTATTTTGTACATTGTTCATAATTCCTACTTCTTGGAATTTCCCCAAATCTGTCAGTTGTCATGAAGAATATAGAGCAAGCTGGCTTGTTTATAACTGTGCAACTAAAAATATATTTACTTTTTATTACTGCCTTACTTTATAACGAAAATCTTACTCTTGGAGCACTTTAATCGCATCTGTCTTAAACCAAACTGTTGCATAATTTCAACCAAAATACTAATCTTCATTCAGAAATATTTATAATGGCCAAATTAAATGACTGTCTAAAGTATTTTATTTTCCATCTGAAGTCATCCCAACAATGTTGTTAAAAATCAACCCCGATTAGCAGATTGAGATTGTAATCTACAATGGTTCCTTTTTTTTCCTAACCAATTTCTGCTATTCTCTTCTCCTGCCAAGACATGGATAAATGCTGAGAAAACAACACTGTTTGACCTAATATTCCTAATATTCTCAACAGATAATTGGAAGAAAATTAGGGACACCTGGGCTCCTGCCATTTTCTCATTTTGAAACAATATATGGCAATTTCTATTACAGCAGCTATATATAAATTATGCTATATATAAACTATATTATGCTATATATAAATCCTGCAGTCTGTAATAGGAATCAATCACAGGTAGGATATGAGGAGCACAAAACAGCTGTCATTGTAATCAAATGCATGATATATATTTGAGGCTTAATTAGAAATAAATTAAAATTCTATTTTAATTTCATAAGAAATTGATATCTTGGAACAAGTAAGTAATATATCGTTAAAAGAAGAAACTACCAAGAGAAACTAATTTATCCAAAATATCTGAATAGTAGTAATATACACAACCCAAGCATTTGTTATGTTTCTATTTGGCCTCAGCAGCCTCAATACTTCAGTAGCTTTGAACATACTAGAGAATGTTTTTACAGAGGCTAGACTATTCAATGTTATCAAAACATTTAAAAGTAATAAAAGTAAATCTGAAATGAAAAACTATCCCATCTTGCAAAATCATCTCTCTCAAGTTCTAAGAAATGTTAAGTAGTTTAATATGATGCAAAAACCTAGTTAGTCCTATAAAATTCGCAGGATATGCTCAATATGTCCAGCAATACCCATACTTTCAGATACAATATAAAATATATTGCAATAGTAATCCCAATTAACTCACCTGCACAAAATATTCTTAGCTGCTGAATGGGAGATATTAATTGTAAGTGAGTAGTGAATAGGTCAACAAATGCCCCGGGATAGACAATGAATATAAAAATTCCATAGCCATTAAACCGAACTTGCTCTCTAAAAAGCAATAGAAAATATTTTTTTTAAGACTTAATTAATTATTTGTAATCAAACAGATCAACATGCTTTACTGTATCTGCATGGAATTTTATTTTCCACTGGTATTTCTACCACTATAGTTATACAGGATGAATTGCTATTATCCTAAGAAAAATGTATTTCAGAACAACAAAATAATAATCATAACAAGCATATTTTGTAAAGCAGTTAATGTTACTTCATTCCAAGTATTCAGTGTGCTTTACTTCAATTATCTGAACTATAATCTTTACCACAATCTGCAGGCAGAACTATTACCCTCCAAAAGAGGCATAGTATATAACCAACTATGATTTGTTTAAGGATCAAAGGAGTAGAACTTTTTGATCTGTTATTCAGTATCTAACCAGCACAATATAACAGATCTGTTCAATGAAAGAAAAAGAAGCAGTCTAAAGCTATGGTAGCAGTCAGAAATCTGGGAATTAAAAGATAATTGAAGGACAATGAGAGTTTAGTTTATAGTGAAGTAGTAATTAAAAAAGAATTTCAGGTCAAATCCTTATCAAATACCCTGTGTTATCATGGCAATCAAGTGAAACTGATTTGTACTGGTGGGTTCAGAAGGTAATTCTTCATCCTGTATGATCTTTAAAGCAATCATGTTTGCTTTCCCACAAAGGAACCAGTTTTCACTCCAATGTATCTCCAAACAGATAAAATTTTACAACATACCAGAACACTACTAACTGAACTGCTGCTACAGATTTTCACGGATACTATATGAACATTATGAGATAATGGGGCAACTTCCTACATTTGATCAAAACTAGTGTTTGCAGTAAAAGCATAAGTATAGCCATCATTTTTAACAATAGTGTTCAAACAGCATAAGGAATTCAGTATGCTGAATTTTGAAGGTGATCTATTAGATATATTAGAAACATGAAAGTACTAATTGACAAAGTAAGTGATACAATAACAGATAACGTGAGAAAAAAGTAACTGTTAGCATAACTCTGTGAGATGGATAGTACTGAAATTTGACAAATAAAATAAATGAATAGACTATAGAAATCAGAATTCAGTTCCTTTTTTTCCAAGAAATCTTTGACTTGTGGCCAAGATAAATAAACAAAAAGATACAAAAAAAGATAAAATACAAAGTTATCATCCTGCCCCAAAACGTCTCAAGCAGTAGAAGGAAATAGTGTAGAGTATATTATAATGTTAAAATTTAAATTCTAAGATCAGAGTAACTCTCAAGAGCACAATATTTTTAGCATTATCTATAATCTATAAAATCAAAACACAAGTAACATCAATAAAAAGTATTTCCTAAAACCTACAAGGATAGTACTGTAATCTATATTAAATCACAGCATGATGAAACTGAAGAAAAGAAAGTAAATAAACTGCCTTCTCCAGTTTTTGTCATATTTCCACTGAGGTAACACAAAGCCTAGCTACTGATTACATGATAGAGGGTTTCAAATCTTCTAAGAGGATATTCACAAGGCACTTACATAGTTTTCCAACATGTTTGTGTAATGGGGTAAATTAAATTGGTCCGACTATTCTTGAGAAATGTACAGTGTATTAATTAATATATGGCTTTTCTATCTCATTAGCACCACATGGCCAGGTGTGTTCAAATAGTGGAATTTTAGCATATCTGCCTTGCAGCAATGCAGAAGGCAAGATTTTTGATCAAGTTTAAAGAAGTAGTAAACGTTTTGCTGGTTCTCATATACCTTTAGCAACTCAAATTCTATTGTACTAGGACAACCTATTTACCTCAACCCAATATTTTATATCATTCATTCTTTGAATAAGCATTTGCGTAGCCTGACTGTAACCTAACTACATTAACTACATGCCAAAAGCCCATATGATACAAGCTTCTGCTCTACCACAAATTCCCAGTTTGAGGGGAAGTTATCAGCAAAACTTAATGATAACCCTACTGGGAAAAAAGTTTTTAGCTGATAATTAGCCACGAACCTCAAAACTCACATCTGAATTCAGGCCATTCCTAGTTCTATTCCAACCTGGGCATCTGTTTTCCTACTAGGGGAATCAAATATAACTTAAGAATTTCATTTGCATCAGCTCCAATGCTTCTTGAAATAAATGTCAAGAATTTGGGACAAACATCTGGCCTCAAAATGAAGGTTTAATGAAGCTGGAATTAATTATCCACCTTTAGGGAAGAAGATCATAATCTTAAGGTTAGGTATACTATGTAATCATAAAATGTGGTCCAGTTCCTTTTCAATGGAAAGTCACCCCAAGATTCTCTATCACTTTATCTCCTTCCTGTTTTGTTTTTGAGAATTTTAGCCCAAATACTCTCATATAGGTAACATGAGAAATTAAGAAATCATAGAAATTAAGGCTTTTAGCAAATGATATTTTTTCTGGTTACAAAATGTGGATTGCATTACCTAATAGCTGCCACTCCATGGCCAACTTCATGTATAATACCACTGATGAGGATTGCTGTGAAGAAATAGGACAGCTGGCTGATGGGAAGGTTTACACCAGGCACCTGTTTTTAAAGACACAACAAGATGCAAGGCAGCAAGAGATGCAGTGATTGGTCTTCCTGCATTCTGATAACACAGCTGCCCTAAAAACCATTACAGATTTCCCAGTAGTCTTATAAAAGAACTCATTTTCATGAAAAAAAAAATAAGATACAAAGGAGAAAAATTATAACCAGATATAATCCCATCATGTTTACATACTATTCTGGTTGAAGAACTCCTAACTCCAAATCACAAGAGCTAGTGATGAAAGGCAGTAATATGCTTCATTTTATTGTCCCAAAGGTGCTTTTTCAAAAGACAACTGGACTTTTCTTGATTTTTTTTTCCTTGAAAATATTTTGCTTCTTATTCTGAAGAACTGATGAAGCTTCTTGGATGAGAAGCAAAACATTTTCAAGGAAAAAAACAAGAAAAGTCTAGTTGCTTTTTGAAAAAGTATCTTTGGAACAACCAGGACCTGGATGATTGAAAATCTCCATAGACATTTACCTCTTTTTATGTTCCTTAAAACCGAAAATGAAATAGCCTAAATCAGACTTTTTCCAACTGTTGTGTCTTCCATAAATTTTCAACTATAGTTTAGCTCAGGGTTCCCCAACCCCTGGTCCATGGACCAGTACTGGGCCATGACCTGCCAGCAATCGGTCCTCAAAAGCAAAGCACCATCCGTGGGATGTAGGCAAGCACACAAAACCATGCACTCTCCAGTCCATGGAAAAACCTTTCTCCATAGAACCGGTCCCTGGTGCCCAAAAGATTGGGGACCTCTTGTTTAGCTAAAACCAGCATTGCCAATTTTCACATATGGCCAGCCAGAACACACAGAGGGCACCAGATTGGTAAAGTCTATTTAAGATATCTTAAAGTGCTTCATCTCCATGGATTACTGCCTTGTTGTGGCAAAGGGGCTTGCGTAACTCAATGAAGCTATGAGCTATGCCATGCAGGGCCACCCAAGACGGACAGGTCATCGCAGAGAGTTCTGACAAAATATGATCCAATGGAGAAGGAAATGGCAACCCACTCCAGTATCTTTGCCATGAAAACCGCATGGACAGTACCAAAAGGCAAAAAGATATGACGCTGGAAGATGAGCCTCTCAGGTTGGAAGATGTCCAATATGCTATTGGGGAAGAGCAGAGGGCTAGTACCAGTAGTGCCAGAAAGAGTGAAGCGACTGGGCCAAAGCCAAAAGGATGCTCAGCTGTGGATGCATCTGATGCTGTAAAGATCTTTTCTCCATAGGAACCTGGAATGTAAGATCCATGAATCAAGGCAAACTGAATGTGGTCAAACAAGAGATGACAAGACTGAACATCGACATCTTAGGAATCAGCGAACTAAAATGGACAGGAATGGGTGAATTTAACTCAGATGACCATCAGGTATACTACTGCGGGCAAGAATCCCTCAGAAGAAATGGAGTAGCCTTTATAGTCAATAAAAGAGTAGGAAAAGCAATACTGGAATACAATCCCCAAAATGACAGAATCCAAGGCAAACCATTCAATATCACAGTAGTCCAAGTCTATGCCCCAACCACTGGTGTTGAAGAGGATGAAATTGACTGGTTTTATGAAGCCCTACAGCACCTTATAGAATCAACACCAAAAAATGATGTCCTTATCATCACAGGGGATTGGAATGCTAAAGTAGGAGGCCAAAAAATAATGGGAAAAACAGGCAAGTTTGGCCTTGGAGTACAAAATAAAGCAGGGCACAGGCTGATAGAATTTTGTCAAGAGAATACGATGGCCACAGCAAACACTCTTTTCCAACAACCCAAGAGACGGCTCTACACATGGACATCACCAGATGGTCAACACAGAAATCAGACTGACTATGTGCTCTGCAACCAAAGATGGAGAAGTTCTATACAGTCAGTAAAAACAAGACCAGGAACTGACTGTGGCTCAGATCATGAGCTTCTCGTTGCAAAATTTAGGCTTAAATTAAAGAAAGTAGGGAAAAACACTAGTCCACTCAGGTATGAACTAAATCATATCCCTGATGAATATACAGTAGAAGTGACAAATAGATTTAAGGAATTAGACCTGATAGACAGAGTGCCTGAAGAACTATGCACGGAGGTTGCCAACATTGTACAAGAGGTAGCAACTAAAACCATCTCAAAAAAAAAAGAAATGCAAGAAAGCAAAATGGCTGTCTGAGGAAATAACTGAGGAAAGAAGGGAAGCGAAAGGCAAGAAAGAAAGAGAAAGATACACCCAATTGAATGCAGAATTCCAGAGAATAGCTAGAAAAGATAAGAATGCCCTCTTAAATGAACAGTGCAAAGAAATAGAAGAAAACAATAGAATAGGGAGAATCAGAGCTCTCTTTAAGAAAATTGGAGATATGAAGGAAATGTTTCATGCAAAGATGGGCATGATAAAGGACCAAAATGGCAGGAACCTAACAGAGGCAGAAGAGATTAAGAAGAGGTTGCAAAATTACACAGAACTATACAAGAACGAGCTTAGCGTCCCTGATAACAATGATGGGGTGGTCACTGACCTCGAGCCAGACATCCTAGAATGTGAAGTGAAATGGGCCTTAGGAAAGCTGAGCAAAACAAAGCTAGTGGAGGTGACAGTATTCCAGCTGAGCTATTCAAAATCTTAAAAGATGATGCAGTAAAAGTGCTGTACTCAATTTGCCAGCAAATTTGGAAAACTCAACAGTGGCCACAGGATTGGAAAAGGTCAGTTTACATTCCAATTCCAAAGAAAGGCAATGCCAAACTACCGCACCATTGCACTCATTTCACATGCTAGTAAAGTTATGCTTAAAATCCTACAAGCTAGACTTCAGCAATATGTGGATCGAGAACTTCAAGAAGTACAGGCAGGATTTTGAAGAGGCAGAGGAACTAGAAATCAAATTGCCAACATATGCTGGATCATGGAGAAAGCTAGGGAGTTCCAGGAAAACATCTACTTCTGCTTCATTGACTATGCTAAAGCCTTTGATTGTGTGGATCACAACACATTGTGGCAAGTTCTTAAAGAGATGGGAGTACCAGACCATCTTATTTGTCTCTTAAGAAACCTATATGCGGGTCAAGAAGCAACAGTGAGAACTGGACATGGAACCACTGATTGGTTCAAAATTGGGAAAGAAGTCTGGCAAAGCTGTATTCTGTCGCCCTGCCTATTTAACTTATATGCAGAGCACATCATGAGAAAGGCATGGCTAGATGAATCAAAAGTTGGAATTAAGATTGCCAGGAGAAATATCAACAACCTAAGATATGCAGATGATACCACTCTAATGGCAGAAAGTGAAGAGGAACTAAAGAGCCTCTTGATGTGGGTAAAGAAGGAGAGTGCAAAAGTTGGCTTGAAACTCAACATTAAGAAAACCAAGATCATGGCATCCGGCCCTCTCAATTCCTGGCAAATAGATGGGGAAGAAATGGAGGTAGTGACAAATGTTATCTTCCTGGGCTCCAAGATCACCACAGATGGGGACTGCAGCCAAGAAATTAAAAGACACTTGCTCCTCGGGAGGAAAGCTATGGCAAATCTAGACAGCATACTAAAAAGCAGAGACATCATCCTGCCAACAAAAGTACGTATAATCAAGGCCATGGTTTTCCCAGTTGCATGTATGGCTGTGAAAGATGGACCATAAGAAAAGCTTAGCGCAAAAGAATTGAGGCCTTTGAACTATGGTGCTGGAGAAAACTCCTGCGAGTCCCCTGGACTGCAAGGCAATCAAACCGGTCAGTCCTAGAGGAGATCAATCCTGACTGCTCTTTAGAAGGCCAGATCCTGAAGTTGAAACTCAAGTACTTTGGCCACTTAATGAGAAGGAAGGACTCACTGGAAAAGAGCCTAATGCTGGGAAAGATTGAGGGTAATAGAAGAACGGGACGACAAAGAATGAGGTGGCTGGATGGAATCACTGAAGCAGTAGGCGTGAGCTTAAATGGACTCCAGAAGATGGTAGAGGACAGGGAGGCCTGGAGGAACATTGCCCATGGGGTCGCGATGGGTTGGACATGACTTCGCAACTAACAACAACAAAAGTGCTTCATCCTGGAGAGAATGTATATATGGTTGCTAACAGTCAATACTGACTTGATGGTATAAAATCACTTTTAAAAAGTGCTATTCAGAATCCACTGCATTCAATATAGCTGCTTTGGATAGTTATCTATGGATAGAATGAGTTTGTGTGTAGATCAAATCAATGGAAAACATGTTAAGAGGAATATATTTTCATTTTAATGTGCTAATACAATTTTATCTTGATATTATTTGCTTGTTTATTGCAAATAAAACATTAAGAATGTATTACTAAAAATACACACAGGGAGGGGAAAAGTTACTTCCTCTCTCCATAAATATTATCTGATTATGTGTTTACATGCCACACTTAATTGAACAGCTCTCATTTATAAATACAAACCTAACCGCATTTAATATTATACTCATTGCCAAGTTTGGACTACAGTTATATTGTGGCAAGTCCAAAAGAGCAAACTTGATCTCAGCTGAAAAACTGAAACTGTAAACAGGCTCTCATTCTGTTTACTCATTTTTATAAGTTGACAATGGCAATACATTAAAACAGGGGGGGGACATAAAAATGTTCTAAGAAAATATAATTATATTTAACATTAAAGTATTAAAAACACAATAAATCAAAATAAATCTATCATAAAAAGATGACAATCTGCACATTAAAAGCCTTTTGGAAAAGCACCATTTTTAACATTATTTGGAATACCATTAGAGAAAGGAAGGTTGATCAATGCCACAACAGAAAAACACTTCTTTTTTCCTAGAAAAAAAGCATACTAATGAGTCCATTCTATTTAGAAAAGGCAGTCCTGTAAGTATCTAGGTGACAAACCTTATATCCTTGCAAGAAATGGACAGCATCCAGATGTTGTGTTTTTTCCCCTTTTCCTGGACATTTTTTTTTTTTTTTTTTTGGTCTACATACGTACTTTAAGTTACCTTGTGTTCTGGGAAAGTAGCCCCAGAAATCTTCCAATATAAAAATAAATATTAGGACACATCAGCATAGCAAAATCTGAATGACTTCTTGTAAGATACTGATTTTAAATTTTATTTCACTAGTTAGATTATAAATATACAAATAAAACTCACCACAACCTGTAGCATTTGATCATTTTGACTTGAGGGATTTTCAGTTAACATCTGTGACACAGTTTGTGTCAGTGTCTTCCCAAGCAGAACCACAGAACCAAACATAGCTGCTATGCCAAAAATCATCCCTATGTTAAACCTGAAGCAAGCATGTAAATATTGTTATAAATTAATATTCATCTCCAACTTGGCAAGCACATATGGCAAATTTAAATATTCAATTCCCTACCCCAGAAACATGCATTCATTGTACAAAAAAGAATACTTAGCACCAAAACAAAAGGACATTCTATTTAGCTGTACAGTTTCATGTAAACAATCAGTTTCAGAACAGTAGCCACTCTGATTGGAAGGATATAAAAAAATTTCCAGTAATTGTCTCATAGACGTCTGAATGGTATTTCTGAAACAATACCAGAGATAAAGAAATCTTGGCTTCCATCTTCCCCAGTTGTAGAAAAGGCGGTTGAAAAAAGCTGTCTGCCATCGCACATGGAATGGAGAAACTGACAGTCCATAGGATGCAAGGCACTCCTCATAACACTCTTTCAGAGAAGATGACTATAAAAGAAGGTGAATACAGTAAAACAAAAAAAGAATTGAAGAAGTTTGCAAATTAGAAGTATGATTGCACAAACATTTCATTTTTTTATTTCTAGAAAATGTCCCTAACTAATGGGGGCTAGCAAGCCAACATTTGGTATGTTGAGAACATGTTAAGGACATTCCAGCAAAACGGCTATTAAGAGCAAGTGGTTCATTCACAAAATAGCTGCCTTATCTATAGGACAAGATGCCAATGTAGCAGAACATTATCTGCCTCTTTCTCTTGTTCCTCTACCTCTGCTTATGTTTATCTTGTTCCTGAAAGATACATATTCTTCTCAAATAAGTACTGGGGCAAGCTATCCACCATTTTTTTTTCCTTAAAAAATGGATGGATGCATTTGGAATTCACAGACATTCTAGGAAATGAAGATGATGCTGAAAGCTGGTTTTCTCTCTTATGTTTCAATATAAAATGTCAGGAGAGGTGAGAACTTGCCAAGTATCAACAGAACTGCTGTGAGCATTATGTAATGAAGATTCCACAATGAAGGGACAGAATTTGGACTATGATTTATTTAATCTCTGCTATACTTTTGACTATTTTCAACTGTTCTTTGGATTGGATGTAAAGCAGGGGTGGCTGGGGAATTCTGGGAGTTGAAGTCCACAAATCTTAAAGTTGCCAAGGTTGGATACTCTGATGTAAAGCATCAAGAATGCATTATTTCTCAACATTTTTTTCTGGAATGCACATCATACATCTGGAAAAGACTTGCTATTTTGGAAGAAACTGCAGTAGCAGATTCCTGTAATAGCAATGAAAATATTGAACCAAACATGTTTACTGAAATGAATGAGTATCTGAAGTAAAACTGCACATGCTTAACTTCCATTTTAAAACAAAATCAAAGAGAAGATGAGAAGAACCAGAATTCTGACAACAGAACTTTAAGAGATTTGCAAGGTTTGGGGAAGGTTACTGTAACTACAATGTAGGCAGTTCCAAACTGAAAACATGTGCCTAATTCATTTTGAATACAGGTAGTCCTCGACTTATGATCGCAACTCAAGCAGCAAGTTAGCTGATAATCATGCCTGCACTCTTTTAACACCCAGTATAATTCAGAATATCAGTCCTAATGCTGTTACTCAATAAATAACAACAACCACCTGCCCTCTAGAGCTACTTATGTTAACAAAGTACAGGTAGTCCTCAACTTACAAAAGTTCATTTAGTGACTGTTTGAAGTTACAGTGGCGCTGAAAAATGACCATTTTTCACATTTACAATCTTTGTATCATCCCTAAAGTCACATGATCAAAATTCAGATGCTTGGCAACTGACTCATTTATAACCGTTGCAGTATCCCCTTTGCAACCTTCTGACAAGAAAAGTCAGTGGGGAATCTATATTCACTTAACAATGGTGTTACGAATCTAACTGCAGTGAGTTACTTAACTATGGCAAGAAAAGTCGTAAAATGGGGCAAAACTCACTTAACAAATGTTTCACTTAGCAACAGAAATTTGGGGCTCAATTGTGATCGTTAACTCCAGGACTACAAAAAGAGGCTCCCTCGCTCAGAAAGCTGCATATAGAAAAGCAGCTTTGTATATTTGGATCCTTTTTACTTGGGCCGTTGAGGCAGCCTAACCAGAGCCCGACTGAGAGTTGTGCAGAACGGGGAGAAGCGACGTGGCCGCTATGAGTTGCTCCTTTTCCTTCTCTGCAGACTTGAGGAACGTATCACCCGCAAAGATTTCTCATTCAAGGGCCTAAGAAGGGGAAAGGCTCCCATCTTACCTTCAGTACCGTGTCGGCTATGTATATGGCGCACCAGCCCCCCAGTACGCAGACCACCACGGGCAGGGGAATCATAGTGACGGCAGCAAAGCGAAACAAAAGCGGCCACAGCGACCAAGCCGGCGGCTCACAGTTTGCGGCCCGGAACAAAATATCCCTCGGAACACTTTGTTCCGCATTTCCTGAGAAGGAGACTTCCGGAAAGAGCACCGGGAGGAACCTAGCGTGTGGAGTGTTTCGTTCTTAGCGTTGACTTCAGGTTCTACTTTGCAATTGATAGAGGGCTTTTTCACGCAAATTAACATATTGGGTGAAAAACAGCGGAAGTCTTTACTGTTTTTTACGTCATTGACTATTTTAAAAAGTCCGAGCGCACATCTTTTCCACCTACTCTCATGCCTGGGTTTTTCTTTTTCTCGAGAAAGCTTTTTAATGCTCCCTAGCGTTTCACTAAGTGTCCGTGGAGATTCTCAGTCATCCAGATCATGGTTGTCCCCAAGGTGCTTTTTCAAAAGACAACTGGACTTTCTTGTTTTTTTTTCGCTTCTCATCCAAGAAGCTTTTTCAGTGAATGTCCAGTTGCCTTTTGAAAAGCACCTTTGGGTTTCACTAAGTGGGTTCGGAAGAAAAATCTCGCTTGCATAATTTCTAACTATGTATTTAATGTCATAAAAATATAGAAGGGGGACAGGCAGCTGGAAGGCTCAAAACCCCCTCCTCCTCGTGACAGCGCATAGCCTAGGAGGGAAGGTTGTGTTAAATTTATTGTATCGGAAGCAAAGACTCTCGTACCAATATCCTGGAATCATTGATGTACTTTATGCCATTGTTTGTGTCACAAAGATTAGGAGAAATAACTTACAGGTAGTCCTTGACTAATGGAAAGCAAATTTATTAGAGCGTAGATTACAGGGCTAGCGAATTTTGGCCCTTTTATCACTTGTGGACTTCAACTCCCAGAATTCCTATGCTTCAATTCAGTTTTAGAAGAACCAGCGGAAGTTCCAGCGGAAACCCGAAACCCGTCCCACCCCGCGGAATGTTTGCGTGAGTGCCTCCGTGTGCGCATGTGTTACAACTGCTGGAACGCTTATTCTGCAAAATTCCTTCGAGCCATTCTGGTGTTCAGCGAGGTTCTTGGAACGGTCTGCTGAAGATCGGTTGACGCTGTAGCCTTTTATATTATACTTTGAGTCTACACTGTTCTTTCCTTATTCCACACACCACACAGCCGCCATAGCTTACTTGAAAATAAATGTACTGGTCTGATACATATAAACTAAGCATTTATCTTCACTCGTGGAATGTATTTGTCTAGCGTGAATGTAAGGCGAGGGAAGTTTGGGATTTCAAATACAATCTTGTTTGATTTCCTGCGTCCGTAAACTACAAAAGGACACCCGCCTTCGTTCCATTTACGCTCTGCCCCTAGAACAGGAGTAGGCAACCTTGGCTCTTTCATGGCTGGCTCATGAATTCTGGGAGTTGAAATCCACGAGTCATAAAAGAGCGAAGGTTGCTTACCCCTGCCCTAGAATAACTCCAGGGGGCGAAAAAGGCAACACTTCCGGTGAGACGGCATATGTACAGGTGAAATCCGAGACCGGGTGTTTGAACTTTTGGTTCGGTTTACCGTAGGCATAACAGAAACAAACCCTGATTTTAAAGGCAGCATTTTATCTGCAAAGCTTCATCTTGGAAAGATCGGAGTTGTTGACTCTTTTTGAACCCATTTGCATTATTTTGCCATGACAATTAAAATATATCTTTTTCTTATCTCCCTACGTCACTGATTTGAGTCAGTAAAAAAAAAAACCAAGATTCTGCTAACATCACTTTGGCCTAAGAAATGTTATTAAAAGATATACTGCAGTTCACTTTATCAGATGCATAGAATGGATAGAGTAATGTAGGATTTAAATTGGGGGTTATTTGGGGGAAAATTAGGACAGTGAATGGAAGATAGGTTGAATTATGCAGGTGCAGGTTACATGGGAGAGGACACAGGGTCATTGACAAGTACAATCTGTTGCCTTTGTTGAGATCTGAGATTGCCTGAAACTGTTTGATATTTTTAAGTTCTACAACCTTTTGCTGAATTTATTAATCAAATTTATACAGCCACCCATCTTACCAGAAGTTACTCACAATATAAAAACATTAATTATAAAAATATAAACAGTCGTTATATAAATAATTTTTAAAAAAACATTAAAATGACCTGATAAAGTCCTGCTTTTCTAAAATAGTCTCTGAGATCTCCTGTAGGCACTTCTAAACTTGTCTGTGAACTTGTTGGGAACTATGATGGTGCTAGTGGGTAGATAATGGGGCAAAGTAAATATCTGAGTTTGTTGCAGAGTCTGGTTTCTATGTTGGAATTGTCCTATTGTTTCTTGTTGCTTGTGAATCTGCTTCAGTCTGAGTGATTGTCTGCAAATATGGGCCTGCTATCCAGTGCCTAAGAAAGTGCAGTATCATTGTCCAGTTTGGTCTATAACTTACTAATTATGTGTTTGAGCTATGACCAGTGTTATTGATTATTGGGTGGGTGGGTAGTTTGGTCTCCTGAATGCCTGGATCAAATATATCAGTTGAGTATCTCTCAAATGGGTTCAAACATATATAGTTTTAGGGTGGACTCTATGTATAGATGATCAATTTGGTGCTGTGCACTGGGTAGAAGCTGGAAACATGCAGGTATGCATGTCAATCTATTTTGTAATTGCTTTTGAAGGGTTCGGGAACAAAGGGAAATTGTACCCATCATGAGCAACCTGGGTAAGGAGAGCAAGCACAGCAGCAGCAGCCTTGAGGATGAGGTAAGTGCAGCTGGACGTCCCCTTGGGGAAGTGGGGCTGGGCTTGGTGCCATGGGTGCTCGAGAGCCATGCTGGGCGTTTGACCTCTGCTGCCCAGGGCTCCAGGCAGCCCGTACCACCATCCAGCCCCCCCACATGGCCGAAAGGAACAGTGAGGCTCCTCCAGTGGACCATGCCTTGGCAATTGCCTTGGTCCCATCCCCTTCTGCCAGAGACCCTCAGATCTGTCCCACTCCTGCCCAGACCGCCACAGGCACCACTGATGCGAATGGTGTAGAGTTGGCCACGCCCACCCAGGAGGCCACACCCACTCCATCCACTTCCACCCAATAGGCTGCACCCACCCTGGCCACACCCACCCAGCCCCCCCCCCCCGAGGGCAACTGCAATGCTGATGCGGCTCTCAATGAAATTGAGTTTGACACCCCTGTTCTAAGGTGTGGCATTTCTGGACTTAACTGTGCTAGCATTCCAGATTGTTGACCACCCAGCTGCTTAAATTTGCTCAAATAAAGTGCTGCTTGATCAAGAAGTCTCTCCTTGGGTTATCTGATTAGATTGATATGATATCTCAAGTTCAAGTAAGGGACTGGGACCTTACATTTCTGGAGCCCGAACAAGGACTTGAAGGTTTTTTCTTCAAGGTCGTTTCTCATAGACTCCCTGTGAATGAGTTCTGTTGTAACTCAGCAAACTTCAGACATGACATCCAGGAAAATTGGTGGGTCCAGATACAAAGGTCAAGAGTGCTCCCAGACTGTTTGTGTCTGGTGACTTTTGAACTGCCAGCAGACCTGAGTTTGTCTGATCTCTGAATATTTAAGGAGACTTCTATCTCATCCCAGTGAAGGTAGGAGGAGATGAGAACAGAAAAGAAACTTGGTAAGTAGAAACAAACATTCTGGAATTAGGGGGAGATGGGGAGTGCTGTTTGCATGAATGAAAGAATGAGACAGAGAAATTCCTGTTAGAGTTCTGCTCCGAAGCGACAGGAAGAGTGCTTGTTGAATTTCAGGCTGGTATCAGGCAGGATCTTGTCCAATATTAAAGGGGGGGGGGGCTAGCTATTCTCAATCTTGATAGAAAAAAGACCAGGAAACCTTTAAGGACAAGGCAGGAGAAAACAATATGGGGAAAAATAATCTTCAAGAGACAACGTTGCAAAATTTTGTACACCTCCACTTGACTAGCTTATCTTTTTTACAACTTAGCCATGAAAGAAAAAAAGAAAAGAAAAATTCAAAGAAAAATAAGTTTTTTTCTCTCTAATCTGGCTCTTTGGATGTACATTCAATTCCTTTCTGTTAGATAATGGTGCCAGCTACTGTCCTTGGAAATAATCCCTATTGTCAGATGTGAAGAGAGGAGGCTGAATTTGCTGGGGAAATTGGAAGCAACCATAAATGTTCCCTTTTTAGAGAAAAATTAAAAGGGAGGCCTGCTTTGGCCTCAAACCCCAAATTGATGTGTTTTAAATATTTGGCCATCCAGAAAATTAAGCTTGGGCTTGGAATGGTGAGAAAAATAAGAGATGGTTCATGGTTCAAAGTCACATTTTGACTGGAATCACATCTTGATTTTTCTCAGTTCTTGGAGGACAAGCAACAGGCCTGGAAATGTTGTCTTAATGGTATCTGTGTATATATGTGTCTTGGGAAAGGGACAAAACCTTCTGATAATAATAAACAAAAAGGCCTTATTTAAAAATAAATGGTTTGCCTGGAAAAAGCATGAAAATGAAATATCTGTTTGTGAAATTGTTTATTCAAGCAGTTTCAGTGGAAGTGAATGTGTGAATATGCTGAATGTGCAAATGTGTGTGAGAGAGAAAGAGTTCCCCACCCCACCCCAGGCTGTAGAAGAAACAGTAAATTGCAGATTTTGTTGTTGTGGACTAAGTAAAAGGTGTTTGCATGAGAATCTGAAGAGAGAAAATTATTTTGTTGAAAGAATGATGTAAGTGAGAGAAGGGGCCGAGATCCCTGTGCAGTTTTTTTATTTTGTTCAGCCTTCTTCTTTACCGGCTTGCTACTTTTTGTTTGTTTGTTTGTTTTTTTGCCTTTGCTTTGGAAGAGAGAGATGGAAAAGATGAGGGGGAGGTTTGGGTTGATCATTTTAAAACTTTTTTCTCTCTGCTTAACTCTGGCCTGGAAGGAGGAGGGAAAAGAGGGAAAGAAGGAAAGGGGTGTGAAGTCTGAGATTGCAGTTTTTGGCTTCAAATTTTGCTCAAGGACAAAGAACAAAGAAAAACTTGTTTAGCATGGCTTATCCTTGTCGTAAATATATCATTTTGTTTCCCTGCTGCAGTTTTGTGTTCAGAGCTTAGAAATGCAGAATCTGTAACATCCCGTCCCCCTCCCCTCTCCTTTTTGCCTGCAAATGTGTCTTTT